CGTCCATTCACCATCCTCGGAAGTTTCATCTAGGATAACCGGAGCAAGCTCCACATCGAACACTTCGCTGAGTCGGCTGTAGATGACAGCATCGATACCTTTGAGGTATTCCTTGCTAATGCTGGCTTGTTGATAAAGGTATCGGAGCGGGATGCCTATTTCCTTTGTACGAGTAGTGATAGCCCCCTGGATCTCTTCGACGAGTTTGGAGAGAAAGGCCTCATTTGGTCGGAAAGCTGGAACCTGGATCTCTGGAACGTAACTTCTATGGCATCCCAAGCGCGAATTGAACGCCACCGTATCCAGGGTCGAAGAGCAGCCGCCAACGTTGGAGTGAGGCGCATCTGACTGTGACGAAACGATAGCATCGCATTGCAGTATAATTTGAACACCCTCTTCGATGGGTTCAAATTTATGGGCGACGTCAGCCTTGAATGCGGCTGCCTTGAGATGGATGTGGGTCTCTGGTGTCGACCAACCTTCCCTGATTTCGGTGCGGGGTCGCATGTCTACGGTCATCTCTTCTCCTCCATTTCTGAGATGAAGTGCGCCTCCTTTCCAGGGCGTGTTCAACGCCACAAGAACAGTGGCATGGTGATCGCCCCGCCTCGAATCGTAATACCAATCGGAATGCCCGCCCTTGTCGTACAGTGCAACCTTGTAGGGTCTGACGTCTACCTCTTTACCGATGAATAGGGTTGACCCTAGGGCAATCTTTAGGGGGTAAACGATGTCGTCGAATGATCCCGTATCTGAGAAAGAATATTTGGATTCTTCAGCATCTATTTCTTGGCCGTCGCGATATGCAGGGTCCAGGACTATTTCGTCACCCCTACTGAAGGAGGAAGCCCTGCTTTTTGAACGGATCATATCTATGTCTGGTTGTCCAAGAGTACCCAAGGAAGTCCCTCCAGGACTGATGAAGTCACATTCGCTAATATAGGCTTCGAGTGTGAAAGAGACGAACGGAAGAGAGGCAACGTTGTTCAGGGCCGTATCGATGGGTGAATCGCGAACTACATATTGCCGCTGTATATCCTGGTTTTCGATGCGTGAATAGAAATGCTGGTAGCCTAGCACTGGGTGTTGCTGTTCTTCAGGCGCTGACATCATGAACGGAGGTAGAATGTTATCCTAGAAGTAATAGCTTGAGAGAAAGGAACAAGAGAAAAGGAGATAGTTTCAGCCCTTAAGTAGACGCTTCACAGTTCAAGAATCACATGTGACTCAGATCATTATATGCCAAGACATAGTAGGAGATGAATACAAGTGAACTGTTTCAACCACCTATTCTTATTCGATTGACTGCGGAGTCAAACCACATCCCACAGAAATTTCAGTAAAATCCTTCAAGAACAAAGGACTATTGATCATGGAGCCTTCCTCTAAAATGCTATTGGCTGCACTAAGCTTCCCACAATTCTTTCTTAGGGGCCCATAATCTGAAACCCATCGTCATTTTGTGGAAAGCCTTTGAAATGCTATGCATGTGAAGCACTTTAAGCTGCGGAAGCCGAACAGGAAAGAAAGTGCACAAGAGTACCAGAGTTGCCTATATCTTTGTGAATGTTAGAAGTGAATCCCGAATGGGACAATGCACCCTAGCTCTCAAACACCTGTTCCAGACACCCACTTGATCCTCGAGTCTTCGAGGTTACTAAACATTGGCACCAGGTGTCCAACGAAGCATGTTTCAGACTCCTGGTGGGTCTTGGACCCAGTCCGTCGGTTTCCCCCGCAGGTCTTGAGCAACATCTTTCCTTTATGTCTCCTGCCGGACGACAAGATATTACAGCTTAGCGACAGCGATGACGATATTTCCTTGCTAGATTCATTAAACATTAATAATTTCCCATAGCCCTGTTCCTACGTCTCGTTTCGATGCTGGCAAGCCACATTGACTATGCTCAAGCTGTGGTCATTGTATCTAACTTTATATGGAGGGACTCGATTTGTTCGGTGTCTATAACAGAATTGGAAAGCACTGAAAGTTCTTCCACCCCAATGGGAGACATGAGGATGGCATCTTTCACGATGACTTTTGGAGACGATAGGTGTGGCGTGATAGGTGTGTAGGTTCGCATCCGTACTGATAGTAACAGTAAGAAGAATAGAGAAAGTAATGGAAACTAAGAGAAAGTACGAGCGAGTGAGTGCATGGACCGAGAAAGTAGAGTGCGGGCATGTTTTGACTCATGTACCGAATCAATGGGTAGCGAATATCCATAACACAATCAAGCGATCGTCAAGGAAGGACTATTTCTGAAACGGATCATTGCGTGGTCGGAGCCGGATACATTCGTAAGCGGGATCAAAGGCTTCTTCTCTAAAATTGTAACCCAGCATCCCCCTTGGAGCGTGGTAAGACATGTTCTTGGGTGCCAGATATTCTTGTTTCTGCCCCTATATCGACTGCCTTGACCCATGGCAACATGTTTCAAAGATTGGTCCAATACGGAAATATAACCCAGAGTAACTGAATAAATTACGATTAAACAATTTCAGCTAATCGAAACACCATCCTCCGTTAATTCCCAACTAACCGGGAGTCAACAGATCGTGGCGTCCATAGTTCAATAACAAGACGTACCGTTTGTCCTTGAATGTGCATTCATCAGTACCGAAGAAAGGAACAGGAAGGCAAGATACGTACCGGTCATATAGCGTGACTCACTGGAAGCGAGGTAAGACACAAGTCCAGCTATATCCTCAGGTTGCCCTATGTAGTCCAATGCTGATCGGCCCACGTTCTTTC